GCGATCCTTCCACCTCAGCCTTCCAAGTAGCTGGAACTACAGATGCGTGCTACCATGCCTGGCTAATTTTTTGATCTGTTGTAGAGATGAGATCTCGCCGAGTTGTCCCGGCTATTCTTGAACCTGTGGGCTCAGGCAGTCCCCAAAGTGCTGGGATTATAGGCTTGAGCACCTGCACCCGGCACTTGAGCAGTTTTCAAAGAAATTTCACCTACTGTGTCTCTTCTGGACTTGAGATTGACAGGACATGTGAGATGTCCGCTTCAGAAGGGAGTAAGCTGTATGTAGTCCAGAGCCTCTTCTCCAAGTTCCGCCCCTCGTAGCAGGGAAACAGAGCCTGTCTGCGTCTCACTCATCCTTTGTCCCATTAAACTGGAAGGCAACTGAAACGGTCCTCACTCCAGAACCTGGCCCATCAGGTATTGGCGTGGCTGCCTTGTGAACAAAGTTCAAACGAGGCGGTGTCACTGTCTCCAGATGCCACTCAGCAGTCACAGAGCAGTGAGCCCCTTGGGATTTGAGGACTGCCGTGCTCTTATTTGTGCTGTGTTAAAAAGAAAACTCTTGCTATGTCCCTAACAGAGGTAGTAAGTTGAATCTGTCCCCATTTTAGCCCAGATTTGACTCAGCCAGTTACTTATGTAGAAGCATGCAGCTTTCCTGCAAAGGGCCAATAATGAGAGGAAAACGTTCCTTCCCTGGGAGTAGCCGCCACCCCCGGGTGAAAGCTGACTACTGTGTGGGGTGTGTGACCCCTCAATGTGCCCACAGGTCCTCATGCCACGGCGAGTCCTGAGGACCTGGGCGGATCTGAACACGGACTGCACCTCACTCCTGACCCCTAGCGCCTCCAAACTGTGTCACGAGCCAAGGGCCAGGTTTAGGGGTCTGTCTGTGATTGTTGTGTAGCTATTTCAGGTCTGAGTGGCTTGGGTTGCATTTCTCTTGGTCGCTCCCCACTACTGCCTTTCCACTAAGGGAGCTGCTGTGACCTGTCACTTCCTTTCCTCCTCCAGACAACCACATTGCCACAGCATAAACGAAGTAGAGGTGTGTTGTTTTCATAGCTGCTGTGGAACCAAGTAGAGCCTTGGAGGATCCTAGAAGGGGAATTTTTAGTTGTGGAAAGCTTCGTTTTCCAGGGTGAAATAGGTGACGGCTGGACCCTAGGATGGCTGGCCTTAGAATCAGAAGTGGGTGCATACAGAGAAAGCTCCCCTGAAAGAATGGGGTGTTAGCTGATCCCAAGGCCAGGCCTGACAGCTGAACTGGAGTCTCACATGCGGGTATCCACGTCACCGATGGACTTGCTACACAGACCGCTGGGCTACAACCCCAGACTCTCCAGTTCATCAGGCTGAAAATATGTTTCCAGTGAGTTCCAAGGTGACACTGAGGCAGCTGAGCTGGGAGCCACACTTGGAGAACTACTAGCTCAGATGACTGAGGGGAATCGAATGATGCTTTCCTGAGTATTCAGACGAGATTCTAAAATCCCAAGTTGTCCTTTAAAAGATTATCTTTCTTTCAGAAAGATTAGTCTCTGTTGGGTCTTTGGATCTTACATTCCAGAGACGACATCAGGTCTCCAGAGACCCAAGTAGGGTTCAAGACCCTCACTTTCTGTAAGGTTCAAAGACCACCAGTCTCTCAGTGTGTGCCAGGCCCTTCAGTCCCTGCAGAGCAGAGTGAGGGGTGTGAGCTGGGAAGGGAGCACAGATCAGGGGAGTGTAGAAGCTGTGGTGTGCTTGATGTCATCAGCCCCAGCTCTGCACACCTGAGGGGAGAGCATCACCAAGTGGGTATTCCAGACCCAGTTCCATGACTTCCTGACTATATGAGGGCTTTAGGAAAGAAGGGGGGAAATGGGAAGAAAGGCTCTCCTGGCCCCCGCAGACATTTTGGGTTGTTTTCCTCAAATATTTTTTAAAAATAAATAAATAAGACATTTTCCAGAAACATTTCCAGCTTTATTTATTTTTTTATTTTTTGAGTTGGAGTCTCACTCTGTCGCCCAGACTGGAGTGCCGTGGCCGCTCCCGGCCACCACAGCCTCAACCTGCTCGGCTCCGGCGATCCTTCCGCCTCAGCCTTCCAAGTAGCTGGAACTACAGGTGCGCGCTACCACACCCGGCTAATTTTTTGATTTATTGTAGAGATGAGGTCTTGCCAAGTTGCCCAGGCGGGTCTTGAACCCGCGGGCTCAGGCAATCCACTCACCTCAGCCTCCCAAGGCATGGGATTACAGGCTGAGCCACCGAGCCCGGCTATTTTTTTTATTTTTGAGTTGAATTCTCATTCTGTTGCCCAGGCTGGAGTGCAGTGGCAAGCTCACGGCCACCACAGCCTCAACTTGCTGGGCTCAGGTGATCTTTCTATCTTAGCCTTCCAAGTAGCTGGAAGTACAGGCATGTACCACCACACCCAGCTAATTTTTTGACTTAGAGATGAGGTCTCGCCAAATTTTCCAGACTGGTCTCAAACCTCTGGGCTCAGGCAATCCTCTTGCCTCCACCTCCCAAAGTGCTGGGATTACAGGTGTGAGTCAACACACCTGGCTGGTTTTTATTATCTTTTAATTATGATTTTTTCATAATTAAAATCAAGTTACACTTAACTGTAGTTCGAAACCTGCAAAGTCACTTCTCAGAATTTAAAAAATGTTTTTTCCTTCAGTACTTCAACGTTTCTGGGAAGTTTACATGTCCAGCCTTCTCTCACATTCCGCCCTTTTGCTAGGTGACTGTAACACTCCCCCAGATTGGAGAAAAACCCCAGGACGATGCCTGGGCAGGCTGGTCGTCCACTTGGGGCTTATTTGCTGGTTTGTGGAGGGGCACTGGGGAAGCAGGGGCCCTCTGGGCTTGTTTCTCCTCCTAATTATGGGACAGGCCCTCCCCTGGGGAGGGGAGGGCTCCTCCATGGAGGGCCCAGACAAGGTCACATCTGCAGTTAACTGGGACGTGGACCTTATTTCACTGATTCTAAGACACGTTTTCACAGTTAACATCTCTGAAATCAAAGCACCATAACACTTGAGAGTGTGTCCTGGTTTAACTGGATCTTGCATTCCATTTTTCTCTTTTGTAGTGATGTATGCAGTAACAGTGTGTCTCACAATTCGTAGCATCTTAAATTCATTAAGGATGAATAGTAAGGTGTATTCAAAAATGTGTCTTCTCCCCTGAGACTCAACTGGACACACTGACACTGGTACAGATGGCAGGGAGCTTCATGGCCCTTCTCCAGGGCTTCTTCAAGCACAGAATTTTGTTTCCAGAATGTAGAAATACTGGAGAGCTGAAATATATACAGGCCCAAGACCTCCAGAGCACTCTACAGGTCTCCATTCTGCCTCTGAGCTACCCATGCCTTCTAGGCTGTCCGTCTGTCCAACAGGGAGTACCAAGGGACACAGAGACGGAGGTCACATCCACAGAGACATAGTACCTTTAAAAACATCAGTGGAACCCCCGTCAGAGCCTCGTGGAACCTGTCCATTGGCTTCCACCAGGCCACATCACAAGGGGAACAGTATACTGGGAAGCGGACACCCAGGGTCAAGACCTGGCTCACTGCTCCCAGTTGTTTGACCTCAGAGGCACCACACTCCTTCTGAGTCTCACTTCCCTCATCCCTAAAATGGAACCAAAATACATTTCCCCCAAGTCTCCTGGGTTGTGTGACCGTGCCCTGAATGAGACAGTGCTTGTGAACTTGGCAGAGGCAGGATGGAGACCTACTGGCAACTTTGAAGCTCTTGGTCCCATACAAGTTTCAGGTTTCCATCACTTCAAACAAAGTCCTAGAGGGGCAGGAAGAAACCCTGAAGAAGGGACATACTGACTGTACCAATGTCAGTATGTCTGGCTGAGTCTTGGGGAGAAATTTGTCTTCTGGTATCTCTTCCTACTGGATATCTTTGAAAACAGAGGTTGGCAAGCTATGGCTGAGGCCAAATCTGGTCTAGCTTGTCAAAGTTTTATTGAAACAGCCACACTCATTCTTTATGTGTTTGTGGCTGTTTTGACAGTACGAGGCAGAGTTGAGTTGTTGCAACAGAAACCATATATGGCCCACAAGGCCTAAAATATTTATTATTGGGCTCTTTATAGTACAAATGCACCAGCCTCACACTTTTACAGTGATGGCGTGTATAAACTAGAGGACTGTTGCTCTTATTTTGAGGGAGTCCCAAACCAAGCTTCACATCCATACCACTTGAAGAAGAGGTTTTTTTGTTTGTTTTGAGTTGGAGTCTCACTCCATCACCTAGACTGGAGTGCAGTGGCATACTCACGGTTACCCCAGCATCGACCCACTGGGCTCTGGTGATCCTTCTGCCTCAGCCTTCTGAGTAGCCAGAACTACAGGTGTGCACTACCACGCCTGGCTAATTTTTTTTTTATTTATTGTAGAGACAAGCTCTCACCAAGTTGCCTGGGCTGGTTTTGAACCTGCGGACTCAGGCAATCCACTCGCTTCAGCCTCCCAAAGTGCTGAGCCACCAAGCCTGGCCAAAGAGGTTTTTTAAATGCATATTATTGGTTGGGAATGGTGGCTCATGCCTGCAATCCCAGTACTTTGGGAGGTTGAGGTAGGAGCTCTTGAGGCCAGGAGTTTGAGACCAGCTTGAGTAACCTAGCAAGACCCTGTCTTCTCTTAAAAAAAAAAAAAATTTGTTTTAGTCAGAATCACTGTGTCGCCCAGGCTGGAGTACAATATGGAATGATCACAGCTTACCCCAACCTCAGCCCTCCTTGGCTCAGGCGATCCTCCCACCTTAGCCTCCTGCGTAGTGAAGACTACATGTGTGCACCACAACACCCAGCTAATTTTTGGTAGAGACAGGATCTTACTACGTTGCCTAGGCTGGTCTTGAACTCCTGCACTCAAGCAGTCCTCCTGCCTTGATCTCCCAAAGTGCTGAGATTACAGGCATGAACCACTGTTTCTGGCCAAAACTTTTTAACTTAAAAATAGAAGAAAACCAACCTGGGCAACTTGGTAAGACCTTGTCTCTACAATAAATCAAGAAAAATTAGCTGGGCATGGTGGCAGACGCCTGTAGTTCTAGCTACTTGGTAGGCTGAGGGAAAAGGAACACCTGAGCCCAGCAGGTGGAGGCCATGGTGGCCATGAGCATGCCACTGCATTCCAGCCTGGGCGACAGAGTGAGACTCTGACTCCAAAGAAAAGTACAATTTATTAAAAAAAGAAGAAAACAGTGCATGTTCTTGGATTCCAGGTTTACTGAATTAGAATCCTTGAAACCAGAAATGCATATTTTACAGCTTCCCACCCAGATGATCCTGTTACTACCCAGAATTCCCCAGAGCAGCAGCAGGTGGTCAGGAATTAACTTTAAACAGGAATCAGCATCTCGCGGCCAGGTGACACTTTGTTGTTTTGATGGCCACGGCCATGGCAAGAGGTCATCAGGTACAAAGCCCCTGGCCATGGGAGGATGGGATCCTGAAGAAAAAACCGTGAAACCTGCCCTTCGCAGGCTCACTGAGCTCTGGCTTCTTGCAGCCATGTCAAAATCTGCCGTGAAGATCTCCTTGGACCTACTCTCTAATCCTCTCTGTGAGCAAGATCAGGACTTTTTGAACATGGTAACGGCCCTGGATACAGCCATGAAGCGGATGGATGCCTTCAACCAGGAAAAGGTGACTAGTCTTGGACTCTGGTAGCCAAGGACGTCTTCCTCTCCCCTCTCCCGGCCTCTGTCTGTCTGGGTGGAGTATGCACTGAGGCCCATGCAGGCTCAGTCTGCCCTTGAACTCTCAGCCCTCTGAGGCCTATGGGCCATGAGCCCATGCCCAGCTCCTTCCAGACTGTCCTGCTCGGGTGTTGCTGGCTTCCCAAGGCTCCCTGAGCCCACGTCACTCACCATGAGGCCTGAGTGGCATCACGGCAGCCCTGCTCACCCAGAGCCCCCCGCCTTCCACCCTGGGCAAGGCAGGCAGCAGCTGGCAGGCTGAAGCTGGACCACGACAGGGGCAGTGCTCCTGTGGCCCTGCAGGCTTCCCAGTTGTCATCTGCCTCGCCACACCTGCAGTTAGGGGTGCCCTGCCTTGCCTTTCCTGGTCCCTGCCTGCCCAGAGCTGTGGGGGATCTTGACAGCTCTCTCTCTTCCAAGGACTTAGAGCCTCCGCTTTTAGGAAGAGTGTGGCCCCTCTGCCCCTACCCCGTCTTCATGTATTGGGTTTTTCTTTTGACAGGTGAACCAGATCCAGAAGACAGTGATTGAGCCCTTAAAAAAGTGAGTAAAGGTCATCCAGGGACCACAGGCCTCAGGGCACTTATGGGAAAAGCAGGTCAGCTGGCCACTTGAGATCCGAATAGCACTTCTAGTAGCCTGTCCCCAGATTCCCACAGGGCTGAGGAGAAACTGGGGCCACCATCCCTGCGATCTGTGGCCCAAGAATCGATGCTCCTGGTAACTTCAGAGTGCTTGTGATGGCCCAGGCACACTTGGTGATGGTGGAGGAACCTCAGAGCCTTCCCAGCGGCAGCCGTTGCTCCAGTGGTCATTGACCATTTGCTCCTCTCCTGATGGAAGCCAGTGGGCCAGGCTTGCGGAATGGAGCTAGCAGAGATCCTGGCCAGCCCTTAGCGGACATGAACGAGGCCTTTCATCTCGATCCTCCGGACTGGGAGAGCAGCTGCCTGCAGCGCTGGGCTTTGGAAATGTGGGGGTGGCCGCACACAGGGAGGGGCGCAGCATCAGGGTCCTGCCCGGGAAGGTCCCCTGGCGCGTGACCTGTGAGGGTCAGGAATGCTTCTGCGAGACTCATCTTCTGTTAGGCAGGCCCTGGTCAGTGATCAGACAGGCCTATTCCCTGGGTCCCCGGAGTGGGGGGGAGCAGGCCACAGCCTCGCCTTGAAGCTCCGAATCACTTCATCTTCTCCCCTCGCCTCCCAAACAGGCGTGACCTAGAAAGGCAGCTCAGCCCAGCTGCACTTTATTACCTCTTCTGTGGTGGTCCCTGGCAGTTGGCGCACCAGGCCTGGGTAATGAGGCTCTGCTTAATTATCATTAGGCCTGGACCAGGGCCCAGAGGGAGATGAAGAGAGCGGTTTTTGATCCTCCAGCCCCTGGTGCTTGGGGTTGAGCTGTCCCTCCCCACTCAGGCCCGAGGTGTGGGATCAGGAAAAGGTCCTCCTGACCGCAGCCAGCTCCAGCTTCTGAACCAAGACAGTGGCGGCTCAGTGAAGTCTGGGAGGGAAGGGGTTTTTCCTCTCCACCGCTCTGCCTCCAGCCTCCCCAGAGTGGGCATCCGCCACCCCTGCCTGCTGAGTGTCGTCACAACTCAGTCCCAGGTCACAGGGTCACACGGGGTGCAGGACTTCTGGACCAGGGCCATAGGGGCCCCAGAAATGGCCACAGAGGCTGCCACGGGCACCCGCAGCTGGCAGCGCGAGGCAGGGGACACCAGCTCAGAACCAGGGACTGACTCCAGTCTGGATTCCAGTACTAAGGATTTCGGTACCAGCAAGGCAGCCTTGAAATCTGATCCCTGGCTTCTAGAGCCAAATGAAGAGAAACCTCGGCTGCTTCCCACCACCCTCATGGCCCACCACCTGCCAGGAAGGTGGGGGCGTGGCAGAGGGGGCGGCACCATCTCCGCACAACAGTTCCGCTGACCTCTGTGTGAGCCCTCGGGCCGCCTGGCTGCCCTGGCTGGCTTCTCCCTGTGTCCCCACAGCCGACATGTGATCCCCCCGACCACATAAAACCGCACTGCCTGTTGCCTCCTCCCTGCTGGCTTCCTCTTGCCAGGAGAGAAGCTCCCAGGGACCCCAGCACCGGAAACAGGAAACAGCAGCTTTCCTGTCCTCTGATGAAGATCATGGCCACATGGCCACCCCACCACCCCCAGCCTCCCCCTGGGGGCTCGGCCTCTAATCCCCAGTCTCTGGGTCGCGTTCACACGTCGGATGGGGATGCTTTCAATTTCCCTTTCCTGGTGGGTGGAAGATCCCGGCTGCGTGGGCACAGACTGAGGCATGGCAGGCATTCCCCACCAGGCCGGCTGTGCCCAGCCTACCTCCCAGCCGGCCCGCTCCCTCCTCCCTCTCCTGTTCCCTCTTCACCCCATGCTTCCACAGGGATCTCGGGACTGGCAAGAAATGGGCAGTGACCATGGGCTGCCCTTCAGTGCCTGCTGGCCCGGGCCCAACCCTGTTCCCCCTTGAGGTTATCCTTCAGGATATTCCTTCAGGAGCGGATGGTCTTGTGAGGAAGCCATGACGGTGTTCCTGGGACAGCTAGCCAAGGTGTCGTGGCTGCCAGTGTGGTGCGGTGCCATGAAGCAGGGGCGTGCTGGGTGGGTTGTCCCACCTGTCTCCACTGGCTTCCAAGGCTGCCATTTTATCTGAGGAAAGAGCTGACCTGACTTTTCAGAATGGCATAGCTGGTGCATGGGAGTGGGTGAGGCAGGTCTGGGTGGGCTGAGGTGGGCAGGGGCAGGTGCCATGAGCTGGGTGGAGAGTGAGTCTGGGCCTGTGGCTCCAGTGCCCACTTCTCCCCTGCTCACCTGAGCAGAAAGGGCAACTCACCGTTTCCTGTGTTGGCAGCAGGCTCCGTGCCTCAGGGAGAGTTGCCCCTGTCCACCTGCCTGAGTGAAGTCTGCAGGGCCTCTGTCAGGCCCGGGACGCATCTAGGAGGGGCCCTGGCACCGGGTACCAGCCTGTGCTCATCTCTACCCTCCCCTGCCAGCACTCAGCCCCCTGATCTGAGAGTGGAGAAGAACCCCTGTCCCTGTGCCCTGTGGAGCTGGCGAAGTCCCTCTGTTGCTAAGAACTTTAGAAAACAAGGAGACGGGGCCTCGGTGAGAACTGGGCCGGAGTTAGAGTCCTGGCCTCCCCTCTTTTTGTTTTCCACCTCAGGATAAGCTGTGCCCTCCCCTAACTGTATAATTTCCCTGTTGAGGGAGATGATGCCTGTCCCTTCCCCTAGGGACTCCCAGAGCCCCCGGTGGTAACCTGTCCATGATTATCCTACAGTGGCCTGGGCAGCAGAGGCTTTTGGTTTGACTGAGGGGTGCTATTGCGGGAGAAAGAAGTCGTCATGGTGAGGCATGGTCTTCCCCAGTGGCAGATGCAGCCATGTCCCCCATAGAGGCCAGGTGGTCTTGGTTCCAGAGGGCTGGTAGGAGGAGCCTGAGTGGCCAGGTGGACCGCCGCAGGCAGGCCCCTATCCCAAGAAGTCGCTAGCCCAGGATTCACACTTCACTCGCCCTCTTTCTTTGCTCATACCTTTGAGAATATGACCGCAGAGTGTTGGGGCTGTGGCCAGGCCAGAGAATTCCCTACCTGCTGGTGTCCTCTGCCTCTTGCCCTGTCCCTGTCCCTGCGCCTGTCCTGCGGCTCCTAAGCAGCCCAGGGGTCACCCAGAGGCCTAGTACAGGGACCACCCAAGTGGCAGGTGACTTCGAAGGCAAGCGTCAGAGTGGCTGCTGGTGGCCCTTGGCCATCTGGGGCAGAGGGAGAAGCAGCACGGTAGCTTCCCAGGCCCTGTGGCACCTGCTCTCTTGAGACAACTGCCTCCTCAGCTGCCCAGGAAGGGAACAGGTCTCCCCTGGCAGCTGAAACTCCACCAGCTGCCTGAGGCGGAAGCAGTGAGCCCTGCTCCTCTCCATGGTCTCACTCCTTCAGACCCGCTCCACGGGTGGCTCCGTGTCCTGGTGTCTGGTTCCCACCTCTGTGTGCACAGCGCTGAGGCCCCGGCTTCCGCCTGGCCAGTCAAGCCAGTGTTGGTTCGATGACTGCGTGTAAGGGCGTGTGGCCGAGGACTCAGACGCGTTCGGGTGCTGGTGCCCACTCAGCATTGTATCAGGCTGTGAACCCATGACAGACACTCGTGACACTCAAGGACTTGGTTTTCAAGTGGACTCACTAGGGTAGGCTCTTTGTTTTATGAGAATCTACTCTCTGGGTCTGTAGCTTCGCTTGGGGCATTTAATGCTTGGGTGAAGTTTATGTTCTCTATTCTCTGGCAAAACTCTTCATTACCCTTCACGTACACTCTTGATTTGTTGAGGCACTTTAGAGCCACATTCATGGTCGTGCGCCGTTGAGAGACAGATTTGGGAATTGAGGCTCCGTGTGGTGTCCAGACTCCCAGAAGCAGACCCAGAGCATCCCGGCGCCCTCTTGACTGAGCACTTGTGCGAGGTTGAAGCCAGCCACAGGCCAGGGGCCCGTGGGGGCGCCCAGCCTCAGTACCTACCTCCTGCCCTTGTCTTTCTTCCTTCTGGATTCCTCACAAAAATTCCAGGAAGAACCAACTCTCCTGGTCCCAGGTCACCAAGTCCGTTTCTCGGCCTTGAGAGCCCCCTGGGTCCTGCGCTCCCTCGGCAGCATGGCCAGGTCTCAAGCACCTCGCAGGGCTCCCAGCTTGTCTGGGCAACGCCTTCTACTGTCACGCCCAGGGCCACACCTTCCAGGAGCAGTGACAGCATGCAAGTGTTCGGGGTTCCACGTTCGAGAAAGCTGCCCCATTTCCTGTCTACTTCCAAAAAAGCTGCTTGTGGGTTTGCCTTATCTTCTCCAACTCACATGTTAATCAAGGACCGTGCAGCATTCCTGCCTGGGGCCACAGGAGCCACCCTGCCCTGTGCCTGTCTCAAGATGTCCTTGCCATCTGTTGTTAAATGTGACCACTAGGATCCGGGCACGTTGACTCATGCCTATAACCCAGCACTTTGGGAGGCCAAGGTGGGATTGCTTGAGCCCAGAAGTTCAAGACCAGCCTGGGCAACGTAGCAAGACCTCACCTCTTACAAAAACGAAGAATGTTAGCTGTGTGGGGTGGCACATGTCTGTATTCCCAGCTGTTCAGGAGGCTGAGGTGGAAGAATTACCTGAATCCGAAAAGTCGAGGCTGTGGTGAGCCATGATCATGCCACTGTACTCCAGCCTGGGCAACAGAGTGAGACCCCAACTCATAAATAAATAGCCAGGCGTAGTGGCTCACACCTGTAATCCCAGCACTTTGGGAGGCCAAGGCAGGCAGATTGCTTGAGCCCAGGAATTCGAGACCAGTCTAGGCACCATAGAGAAACCTCATCTCTTCCACAAACAAAAATGTTTAAATTAGCCAGGTGTAGTGTCTATAGTCCCAGCTACTCAGTGTGCTGAGGTGGATGGGTCATGTGAGGGCATAATGGAAGTCAAGGCTGCTATGAGCCGTGATCATAGTGATCATGCCATGGCACTTCAGCCTGGGCAAGAGAGTGAGACCCTGACTCAACAAATAAACAAAGGTGATACTGGATGTGAACATTATGCCCCTGGGGGCCCAAATGCCTGGGCCTCGTTGCTGCTCCCTCTCACAGCCACTCCCAAGTCTTGCCCGTTGTGGTCCCTTTTAGTCAGGAGGGCTGGGAAGGCCTCGAAGGGTCTTCCTCGTCGGTTTGGCCATCCTGATGGTACAGCCATGGACTTTCCGCCTTTCCCATGTTAGGAAGAAGCCCTCGAAGGAGAAGCTGCCTTGGCCAGGAGCAGGGTCAGGTTTCAGCTCCGTCACCTGCTGGTGTTATTGGAGGGGTGGGAAGGGTGCCAGATGGAGAGCTCGGATGCCTGCGTTCTCTTTCAGCCCGTCTCTGCCTAACGGTGACCTTGGGCGAGTTGTATGCCCTCTCTCTGGTCTGTTTCTCTCATTTCTTTAAGTGAGGATGCTGGACAGATGGCTTCCGAGGAGTCTCCCAGCCCTGCCGTCTCCTAGCACAGTCTCTGTATCCTGAGGCTTACATGGGGGGCAGGGTGTCCCTCGACTGACCGCCATGTGCCGCTAAGGTCCTGCCATGGCCCTTCGCCCACGAATTGTTCTCAGTAGCATAAGCTCCGGTGAGGGGAGCCTCATCTGGTGTTCACAGTGGCATCCCGAGACCTCGAACGGGGTCGGTGCTTAGTAGGTGCTCAGTGCGTGTCTTTGAGAATGGACCGTCTCCAGCCGGGCTGTGTCCAGCAGGTTCGGCAGCGTCTTCCCGAGCCTCAACATGGCAGTGAAGCGGCGGGAGCAGGCCCTGCAGGACTACAGGAGACTGCAGGCCAAGGTGGAGAAGCATGAGGAGAAGGAGAAGACGGGGCCGGTGCTGGCCAAGCTCCACCAGGTACCCTGGGGGCGGGGTGGGTGGCAGGAACCAGGAGAGGGCAGGGCGGCAGAGGGGCCGCTGCGGCCACGTGTGGGGAGTTCCTTCTTCCCTCTGGGGACCACCGGGACCAAGACCCAGATGCCCCCACCCCACGCACGCACCCTGCAGCCGCCAGGGAAAGCTGTGACCCAGGTCTTGTTCCCCAGGCCCGCGAGGAGCTTCGGCCTGTGCGGGAGGACTTCGAAGCCAAGAACAAGCAGCTCCTGGATGAGATGCCACGGTTCTACAGCAGCCGGCTCGACTACTTCCAGCCCAGCTTCGAGGCCCTGATCCGAGCACAGGTGAGCCCAGCTGCTCCCGCCGCGGGTGGCCCGACACTCCGCCTTTGGGCTTCAGGGACTCGGCTCTTGCCACGCCCGCCTCGTGCTGGAAGAGGCTTGGCCGGGCTCCACAAGGGCAGTGGCACCCGCCCCTCCCAACCGCTGCCCCGCTGAGGACGTTCAGCCCCGTGCTGGGATCCAGGGCACCTGCTGTTCGGGCTCCTGCGTTGCTCTCTGGTTAATCCCAGCCCCAGAAGAGAGGGGTTTCCCTTTGTCTAGCTCTTCCCTTGGCTTCTCTCTCCCTCACATCTTACAGAAGCAGCAGGAAGAAAGCAGGCAGTCTCCAGCCCTGCAGTGTGACGGGCTGACGGGCAGGTTCTGTCTGCCAGGTGGTCCCCAGACGAGGGATCTAGAGACCTGAAGGGCGGCGGCCTTTTTGTGAGAACCCCCTCTGCTCCCCAACCTGGTTGATCCTCTTCTTTCGGCAGGAGGCCCTGGGGAGTCTTGACTCTGAGCTACTCAGGAAGGGGTCCCTGACCTTTGAGGAGAGCCACACTCGCTCAGGGCCACTGCCCAGGCCTCCAGAACCCCAAGGCACCTGGCAGTGGGAGGGCAGGCTGGGCTCAGGTGGTGTGGGTGCGCCCCGGCTGTGTCGTTGGGGCCAGGCAGCCGAAGGGTCGGACAGGCCGGGACAGCCAGTTCTTCTGCAACTGGAGTGGAAGGACACCCACCGACTGGGAGCCGCGTGTCTCCTGCCCTCGGCGCCCCCATCTGTCTTCAAGCCTTGAGCGGAGTTGTTCTCCCTGCCGGCAGAGTAGGAAAGGGTGGGTGCCAACACCGGGAGCAGGCCCCCTCCAGGCAGCAGCCCGCTGATGGCTCGTGCTCAGTGACAACCTCGGGACCCCAACACCCACACCACCTCTCACCACCAGGTACCTGAGCTACTGGCTTCACGTGGTCCCCACTCCTGTCAGCGGTCTGCACTTGGCCTTGCGTCTGGCGCCCTCCAGTGGACGCTGCTGTTCCTGGCAGGTTCTGCAGTGGCAGGCCCTGGGAGAGGCCTGACCCGCCCCCACCCAAAGCCGCTGGTTTCTGCTCACTCAGTTTCTGGAAGCTTGAGCAGAGTTTGAGCTGGGACTTGTTAGCGACCGCATCCTTGATCCTGTGTCATTTCTAGCGGGCAGTGAAACCGAGCACCCAGTCGGGGGGGATCTCACCCCCATGGCCCTGGTGACTAGGGTTCCTCCCAGCCGCCCCCCTGGAGCAGCAGCTTTCAAGGGGAGACCTGTGCCCGGCCTGGCCTTTGCCACAGCCCTGCGTGCCACCCTCTGCCCCCTCCTGTTGCTGCAGAAGGAAGCTGCAGGTCGCCAAGCTTTGGCATGCCCAGACTGGCGTGGATGGCGAGGCTAGGGGTGCCCTGTAACCAAGCAGCAGGGTGGCCGGGGCTGTTCTCCGCCTCTTCAGCACCAGCTGCCTCCTCTTCGCCCGGCTGCCACTGCCATTAGTCACTGGAGAAGTGAGCATTCCCGGTGACTCACCACACAGTATGGCTTGGGCAAGGAGTTGGCGGGAAGGGTGCCCCCAGCGCCCCCAGGCCTCCGGCCGAGGTGACAGCAGTGTTGGGACTGTCCTGAGTTTGCTCCTCTCCACTGGGGGATGTCTTGCTGTGGGAGTCAGAGACTTCGACGCACAGCGTGGGCCCTGCCGCCCACTGGTCTCCGCATCCTGGAGTAGAACAGAGCCTCCTCCCAGAGGCAGCTGGGGCTGCGGCGTGTGGCCGTGGACGCCTCCGTGGCAGTGTGTGCTTCCAGTGGGTCGTGAGGTGGAGCCAGAGGCAGAAAGGGCCCCTGCTCCTCCGCCATTTGGGAGACTTGGTAGGGCTTCCCCACTCTTCACCGCCCTGGCCTCTCCTCCCTCGGTCCCCTCCCGTCTCTGGCGTCTACCTAGAAGGGCCTAGGCAGTGAGCCCGGCCTCTGAAGGGTGCCCTGGCTGTATAGCTCAGGCCACGAGCAGCAGACTAGGATGTCACCTTTCTCACCTGTGCTGCCAAAACCGGCTGTCAGGGCTTTGGCACCACCAGCCTACCATGTGTTCGTTTTCCCACAGACAAAAGCTTGGATTTCTCTCCTAGCTCAAAAGCAGGAAGGCCCCAGTCCCGGTGCCTTTCACTCGCCCTCCCTGGGTGCCAGAAGGGGGCTCCCACCTCCAGCCACCAGGGGGGGCCCCAGAGCTGCACGGCTCCCTTCGACTTCCTGCGGCCTGTGGTCGCCCCCAGAGCCTTTCTGTGCACGTTCCCGAAGGCCTTCAGGCGGTGGCCCCACGCCGACCTGCACTGCCTGCCGTGGGACGGGGGCGGGGCTCCTCCCGTGCTCTGCGCATGCACTGACCCCTCTGGCCTCGCCCAGGTGGTGTACTACTCCGAGATGCACAAGATCTTCGGGGACCTGACGCAGCAGCTGGAGCAGCCTGGCCGCTCGGATGAGCAGCGGGAGCAGGAGAACGAGGCCAAGCTGAGCGAGCTCCGAGCCCTCTCCATTGTGGCCGACGACTGAGTTCCCGTCACTCTGGGAGGACTCCTGGGACTCAGCCAGCCTCTCTGGTCCTGGCCTTCTGCAGGGCTGGGCTTCTGCTCCCCCCGCAGGCTGGGGTGGAGGCGGCCCTGGCCTCCCTTGGTCCTTTGTGATGGTCTCATTCCCTTGAGCCCGGGGCCAGGAGCCCACACAGGCTGCTGTCTCCCCACCCACAGCCCCAGATGCAGGTAAGCAGTGCAGAAAAATCCTAGGGGCTCTGTCATTTCCAGAACCGTCCAGAGTACATGCTGGCCTCAGGCTAAAGCAAGTGTCAGCCCTCCCAAGGGCGTGGGCTTTGTCAGCTCATCTGTGGGTCTCAGGCCCACTTACATGGTGGGGACCACATCTACCTCCAAGACTTTCCTGGGGAGTCTGACAGCCCCCCGTTGCCTTTTCACTTCAAAGACTCTTTTTTCTGGGAGAAGCCCGTGACCCGCCAGGGGGAGAGCTGTGGTCCTCCAGCCCTCACAGGCCCTCATGCCATCTTCCTGTCCCGTGCAGGTCAAGTGCAGGGATAAGCCCCAAGTCACTTGGGTTCCCAAGGTAACTGGGACTCAGTGTCACTATCCCACCAAACAAAATGTCACACATCAATTCATAGGTCTCAAAGCAAGAACCATAGGTTTGTGTCTCACCTGAATATCCGGAATTTTATTTTTTCAAGTAAAGTTTTCAATAAAACCACATAATATTGTGCTGTAACTTGAGAGGAGGGGAAAGCCACCACTGCTTTTTCTGGACCTGCTGCCCTCCACTGAGGAAACAGGACCCTCCCGCAGTCTCATGACTCCAGCAAGTAGGGTCAGCCCAGGGTACAAAGGCTTGAGCTTCCCATGGCCTTGCCCCAGCTTCTGAAGAGAACTGTACCACAGCCCTTGCCGGGCAGGGCCAGGAGGGCAGGGAGGTGGCACAGGGAAGCGCTATGGAGAACACACTTGATTTGTTTTTGACTTTGGTTTATTTAAAAAACAGAAAGCCAAAAAAAAAAAAACCCAACTTTATATACAAAGTCAAACTGAAACCATGGATTATGGAAAGAGGTGAGAATTATGGGTAACAGGGGAGAAGGCTGGGCCAGAGCCAATACCACATTCTGAAATCAGGAGCCAGGGGAAAGAGGTGCTGGTTTCTTCTGGCAAGTCTGGGGTGGCTGGAACAGTGTTCTACTGGCAAACACAGCCCAACACTGAGAGCTTTCTCGCACAGCCTCCGTTCCTGCAACGGCCGAGGGAGATCCTTCCCCCGGGAGCCTGCGCCTGGAACCTGGCAGGACTTGTGCCATCCAGAGGAAGGGGCTGCTTAGCCCCAGCAAGACTCCATGTCTGTCTCCTCAGCTTATTGGCATCAGATCTTGTCACATACTCAAAGCCTTTTCCTCCCCTGTCTTATTCTAAACTGGAAGAGGACAGGAGAAAGCACAAGACTAAAAGGGCCCCAGGAGGAATTCCAAGGTTGAGGGCAAAATGACATTCTAGGGGTGCAAAAGATGTTGTATTTAGTTGTAACTGGAACCAAGGTTCCTCACACATCCATCCCACAGAGCAGACCCCTCCCTGACGGCCTGTGTCCCCTAGAGGCTGAGCGCAGGGTCAGCCACCCTGCCTGGGGTTCCCAGGTCCTGCCCCAGCTGCTTTCTGGTACCCCAAGGGCTCCAGCTCCATCAGACTCCATCGCTGCCCTCGCAGGATGGCAGCTCCTGGGCGAGGCCCTCAGTTGCTAGGTGCCGGCTCCTCCTTCTCTACCCAGCTGTCGGCCTGTTGGAAGCAGACATGACAGGAGTCAGGACTGGCAAGGAGGCCTGAGGACTGCTAGCTGCCTCCTGCTGGGACCCTCCAGCGGGCACGTGACCTACTGCTCAGTTCCCTGGTAAATATGCAGACGGAGAACGAAGAGGAGACGACCCGGCAAGGGAGAGAAGGGCCAGTGCACTCGCTGCCGCTGCCCCTCTGGCCAGCTCTCACGTGGCAGACAGTGCCCTTCCAGGGGCCCTCAGGAGCCTGGCTGATCAGAGCCGTGGCTGCCTCCCAGCCGCCCCCACCTCACCTTCTCCACCATCCGCTGCATCTCAAGCTGCAGGGGGGTCAGGCGCCTCCGGAGCTCCTGAAGCAGCCGCTGAAGCTGGTTCTTCTGTCGTTCCGCCGTCCGGGCCGTCTCCTCGGCCTCAACCAACCGGGCCCGTAACTCCTGCATCTCTGCTGCCAGTGTCTTGTTCGTCACTTCAGTGGCTGAGAAACGGTTATGGCTCTCTTCTGCGCGGTGGGGGGGAGACGGCAGAAACACTGCTGCTCAGTCAAGGCCGGAAGCCGAAGGAGCGGGGCCCCACCAGTCCCTGTGCCTGCCCTCTCCAGTCCCGCCTGCGACGCCCGGCCCCTCACCCAGCTTCAGTTCCAGTGTGTGAATCTTGTTCTCCAAGTAGAGCCGGCTGCTGTCCTGCTGCTCCGCCCGCTGCAGCAGGCTCCCCACGTTGACCAGGCTGCCGTTGTGGGGCACCAGGGCTTTGTGTTCCGTGGGGGCAGCTCCGGGCTTTGCGCTTTTCCCAGGAGGAGGCAGCAGGTCCAGGTTTCCTAGAAAGGGCCGTGAGAAAGATGGAAGGTCAGGGGCTCCCAAGGGGCACGCAGCCTGCCCTGCCTGTGCCCCAGGAAGGCTGCAGAGCACAGGACATACCCAAGAGCACCTCCTCAGCAAGCCCACTGTCCAGGCTCTCCTGACGGCTGTACTGAAGGCTGCGGTACTGGCAGATGTTCTGCGTCACCACCCTGCTGACCAGCTGCTTGGCCTACAGAAAAGCAGACGCCTACTGAGAGGGAGGCGCAACCCTGGCCCCAGTTATGTGCGAGCCGAGGGCAGAGCAGGTGCAGGCTGCGCGTGTGAGGGGAGTCATCGGAAGGGACCGTGGGGTAGAGGTACCTGCTGTGCACTGAGCCGGAGCCCAAGGGTAAGGAGGATCCTCTCCAAATCTCGCCGGTGCAAGTAGCCACACCAGTTGGCATCAAAGAACACAAAAGCAAGAAGACAGTCCAAGGGGAGCACAGCAGAGGGATCCAGCTCCTTGGGCTGCAAAGGCGAACAAGAGGTACAAACACTTCTCTCAGTGGCTGTGCCGCCCAGCACACGTCCTTCCCAAACCGAGCAGCTTGAGTGGGCACAGTGGTCCGTGCCTGCAGTCCCAGCTCCCGGGGAGGCTGAGGCAGGAGGATTGCCTGAGCCCAGAAGTCCAAGGCTGCAGTGAGCTAGGATCATGCCACTGCACTCCAGCCCCTGCAACAGACCAAGACCTCGTCTCTTTTTTTTTTTTTTTTTTTTTTTTTTTCAAAAAAGAGCGGTTTGGCTGGTGACAGCATCGTGCCTGAGCAAGCTTTCCAGCTATAACCAAAGGCCTCTTTGGGGTGCTCTAAGAACTGCCTGTGCCTCTCTCTCAGATGCTCACATCCTCTCTCCGACTCACCCTGAGGAAGACAGTGAAACATCTTCCTGGAGCCCATAAACGTGCCATTCTGTGAAGCCAAGACCACATCTTGGCTTTGGCCCACCGAGAAGTCACTGGTAAGCATCCCTCTCTCGGAGTCAGAGGCCTCGCCAAGCCTCATGCCACTGAGGCCCCAGGAGGTCAAGGTCTCACCATGTCCTGAAGAGAAGAGAATTCCATCTCCGACTGGTTTGAGGCAACGGACCGGACCTCTGAGTCCTCCAGCTTTGCTGCTGCTACAGAAAGTCCAGGGTCAACATGGAGCAGGGCCCAGCCCAGCCCGGGCCAGCGCCACCGTCCTAGAGGGAGAGCCACCACAGCAACAGGCCCAGAGCGCTGCTGTGGGAGCCCGCCCCCGCCCCGCCTTCCGCGCCACGTACCGAACTCCTCTTCCCCGTCATCCCGCAGAAGCAGCAGCTCCGGGTCCAGCGCCATCTCACACAGGTCCTCGGAAGTCTCACCCTGGGGCTTCTCCTCTTCCTCTCCCCCTGAAGAGGGCGGTTTAGGCAACAGCCCGTCCTCCTTCTAGGGAGGCAGACCAAAATGATGAGAAGGAACGTCACTCCTGTCATTCCTCACGCTAATCATGGCTAGCATCTGAATATCAGCTGTGTTCCAGGCACTGCATCAGGGCTCTGCAGACACAGTCTCTTTTAACCTAGTTCTTCTCATCACATGGGATTCAGAGCATACCAGGGCATTTCCAGACACCTGGGCTCTCTTCCTCAGGAGTTAGTCTCAGTCCCACAAGAAATTATGTAGACGTAATAGTGTTGAGGTGAGAAGCAGACGCATGTTTTAAGAAAGGTTCCCAAGTGTCTCTAGCTAACCACTAGGCAGTCACAGCACCCTGCTCTTCCAAGTGTGCTTAGTGACTGGGACTTTTGACTGACTGCCAGGGCTTGTCAGCCACGCTCCCTTCACTCTTCGGGGCCACCTTTCCCTACCCGAGGTATAACACTGACTAGCTGTGTGGCCACAGGCAAGAGATTGACCTCCCGGGGCCTTAGTCCATACTGGGCTTCCAAGGAGTGTGCAGGGTGAGGGAGGAGGGAATGAGATCTGCCACGGAGAGTGCTAGCAAATTATGGCTATAGGGTCCTCAAATTATGGTAAGCATTAATCTTTGCAGTCCCCAGTGTCAGCCCCAGGGCAATGGAGGCACTCACCGGCGGGGGCTCTGACTCGGCAGCTGGACCCTCATTCTGTACCTCGTCCTTGGACTCTTTTGCCCCCTCCTCTTTGATGGCTTCTTCCTCCTTGACCACTTCCTCCTTGGCTGCCTCCTCCTTCTCAGGTTCAGGTGGGGAAACAACCTTTTCAGGAAGGCTCAGCAGCATCTTATAAACCCTATAGCCAAAATCCCTCTGGAGCATCTCTAGGAACAGCTCAGCCAACACCATCACCTGTTGGAAGAGGCCAGGGGCCCATGAGCATTAGGGAACGAGGAGGACCGCGAGCACTGCCAGCCCTTGCATCCTGCCCTACACCCCCCAGACTACACCTACCTCAAAAGAGATCCTTTCTTTCGGCCTCCGATCCTCCACAATCCCATGGAGGGACAGATTCACACAGCCGGGACGTGCAATGACAGCAGGTTCCAGCGGTGGTGGAGGGGCCTCGGGGAGATCCGTGTCCACCTCCTGCTGCGTGGCAGCCTCTGGGGTCTCTGTATTCTGTTTAGAAACGTCTGCCGCTTGCTCCGATGTGTCTGCTCCCTGTTCAGGAGGCTCTGTTTCCTGTGGCAACAGCCGAGACTTGACCTCTGGGTCCCAGGACCAGGGCACTTACCCCTCTGGCTTCTTCCTAAGGCTCACTCTTACCCCTGGTGCCTCCTGGGGCGGGGGTGCTGCCTCTGCAGCTTTCTGCTGGCACAGGGCCTCCCATTCTTCCAAAGTAGGCATGATGGTCCAGATGTCAGGCAGGAACACCACCACTGTCTGGAGCCGCCGGGGGGGTCCTGGCTGTAGGTACTGAAACTCGGCAAAGCGCCACCTGCTCACAGCAAAGGGAGGAAGGAAGTACTAATGTGTCCCGTAGTCATGCACATGCCACACTCCCAGGCAAGCGCTTCTGTTTCCAGCCAGCACTTCATCGGCACATGCTGCACGCCAAGCTTTGAAAATACAACAGCAAAGCTACAGACCAGGTCCCCAAGACACAGTCAGTCAGTGGGCAGACCACAGGCAGACAGCCACCGAACAAGGTGCCGAAGCAACAGGACAGAGTGCCAAGC